TTCGCACTTCATCCTTGTCCCCATCATTCGCATTTCCTCGATTACAGACATACTCATTTGTTACTGCCGTTCCCTTGCATAGATGGTTGTTCACAGGCAACGGATCTCGTTTAAGATATTGTCGAATGTAATGTGCACACTGAACTCCAGCTTTAGCGTGTCAAAAAAAAAAAACACTGAGCCTCGTGGCCAGACTTGTGACTGGGTTGCAGCACTTGGAGCATATCTCGCCAGCGCTACAAGTGCTTTGCTGGGCAAGGGTGGAAGAGTTGCTGTGCCGCCGAGATTGGGCCTAGGTGAAGAAAGCCCTTTTCCGAGATTAGAAGTTCGGTAATGGCGTCCTCTCATACACAATACATCAAACAAAGGTAGAAAGTTTAACAACACTCGTTCCATTTTTAAGGAAAAGTTACGGAGCTATGTAAATCGCGCCACCAGATTCGTACGTTGGGTTGTGTTTTACGCCAGAGCCAACGACTGCTGTATTGCCGAGACGCAGTGATAAAAATCACTTTATGAGTCGTAGTCCAATAGACTTAAAATTGGCTTTGCTTTTGGAAATCTAATTTGCTGTGATGACTCGCTGAATTCTGAAGCTATTGCAAAATTTTGATCATGGCTGGAAAGGTCGGTGCAAGTTGTTCATTCCCTATGATATATCTTTAGGTGATGAAAGTGCAGAGGCACACGCATCTGGTAAATTCCTGTGCTTCCGGGAAACCAGAGGTACTAGGTTCGAGTCCCCGCGGTGCCCGCCCTTCCTGCCAGGGCAAGGGGCAGGTGACACCATGCAACCTCAGCAGCTAAGTGAGTCGTAAAGCAACAGTGCGACGACCATGACCTATAACCTATCTTAATGTACATACAAGTGTGACGCCTTTGTTTCCAGTTGAAGTTGCAACTGTACTATTTTTGATAAACTTTTATAGAGCTATAAGTTTAACTATACCATACTATAACTAGCTATATGCTTACTATCCAAACTTCATCAACGGCAACTTTTCCAGCCTATGGATCAATACGTTGAGAATGTAACGGCAATTGACAAACAGTGCTGAGCAGCGCGTCCAAATATGCGTAACTGCGTGTCAACGAGAAGCAGCAAGCAAAGCAAAGTTTAGTCGTTTGTCTTTTTAGGTATAGTTCCTCACAACGTTGCTTGTTGGTTAGCTCGATTTTGAAACAAGATAACCACTTGGGGTTTATCATATCTAAACGGTGCAAGCAAGGTCCAAGCTATGTAAGAAACACAACAAAAAGGTAAACCAGATTATCCTGAAGTACGCGACTAAAAAACATTATAAGTTGGAGTCCTGTAGACTTATTTAGATGTTCAACATTTCAGATGGAATAGCTTATGCCATAACTAGCTTACTGCGTGTCATGTTGACTTCGTATGACCTCATTTTGGCATCCTACCTACATCTGACTATGTGCTGACCAGAGCAAAATTGTAGCTGACGTTTAAGCTGCATAGCGCGAGCAAAATGGATGTGAAAATATTTGAATCGTCGGTCGCACGAATACACCACATTATCACGCTAGCCTATGGAATGGCCCTGACCTAACCCCATTGTGGCATCTACAACCTCGTAACGCAGCATCCTCAATTAGCCAAAGAGCATTCTTGTTGAATAACTGAAACGCCTCAATTGACCCAGCCCCTGCAAACATGTAACGGGGGGCCGCAGGCCTTTGGCCTGACCTTGACCTTTCATGTCAGTATGATTTCTAATTGTTGCTTCTTTAAGACATGCCCATTACCCTTTTTTGTTTGCATAGATATTTCCAACTTAGGCAGTGAATTCCCGAAAAAGCCTTGTGACGGTTTTGTCTTCCGGCTTTCTAGCCCGAGGCGCTAAGTTGGGACGCCAGCCAATTAATGACTGATGAGCCTTGCAGCTCATATTATAGCCTGTTTGGAAAAGACATAGTCTTTTATGATCCGAACAAAAATATTTAACAACTTCCAGTCTAAGAATCGTTTCAAAAAGGCACGAGAACTGCGATAGGCGTGTATCCGCCATTGATCACTGCGTGCCGATTGGACTTGTGACGTCATCAGTCGAAGCAGCGGGATATGGCCGGACGGTTATACCTTCTGTTCCAGGGCCTTGACTTCATGGTTCGCGGGTGCGGAAAACATGTGCCCGGCAGTGACGTCCGTATTGGTTTGCCCCAGTTCTGACTGAGAATCGTGACATTTTGTTTGTCTGCTATTGGAGATCAACCATCAAGAATCCCTTCAGGAAAAGTAGGACCGATTTGGCGCAAATCCGCTGCTGACCAGAGGTACAGACGTAAGTGCAAGCCTTTGTACAAACGATCTGAAAATCTCTGGGTAATTGTTGTGATAACCTGATATATTGATATATCATTGTAAAATGGCTAGCATTTGGAGGTTGAAAATTGTTGCTTGGACAATGCATGTTTGAGTCTATTTTGCTCGAATATTTGCAAAAGACACCATGCTTATGGTATGTGTGATTCCATTGATGCATGTGTATTTTGTAGTTGTATCTTCCTTGCTATATTCTGCTGTTTTTATATTAGATGGTTTTCTTGTTCAGTTCCTCCTTATTGCCTTTGTTCTCTATAGATCAGTTGGTTAGAGCACCTGCTTTCTGATCCACCCATAGTGGCTGCATGGATTGAGTCACTTTGTGCACTTGCTATCAGCCCTTGACAAATGGTTTGTGGGTGGTGGTAACAACCACCCTTAAGGTCCAGTGAAGTCAGGGGGCAGGATGGACCATGCCAAGCACTGCAGCATTGAAAACTTTTACATGACCTTGAACAAGACCTCAAACAAGACCTTGAACATGCAAAGTGGGGATATTTATAATGTCTTGCATTTGTAGTTGGGCTGAATTCCGCACTCAATGGCTGTATTATTTGTTGCATTTTTGCTTTCTGTATTAAGTAGCAGATGATGCTACAAAGTTCAGAGGCTTCTAAACCATTGTCATTAACAAGGGGGCTTCAGATATGCATTGTGGGTTGTGATATTAATGAAAGCTCTGAATATTTGTTTACCAGTGAACATGATATCACTGATTGTTCTGTCCACCATTATTTCCTGTGGTTGCAGTCACTAAAATTTATCCATGCGTATCTTGCAGAAGACAACAATATCAGCATGGATATAAACTATGCTGAAGAACAGGAAAATGAGCTGGAAGCACTCCAGTCAATATATCCAGATGAACTAGAAGGTAAGTGTTGTTGGGAGCAAAAAGGGTGTATTATGTCCAATCCATTACATTTTTTGTCTTGCCATGACTTTATTAGGTCAATGTAACTAATTCATTTCAAAGGAGATGCTTGACTGTGTTGTTCAAGGAAACTTGATCTTGAAGTAGATTGCCTTTCATCAGTGATCCAAAGTGTGGTTCCCAGACCTCAATTATAATTGTCTCTTTCTGTATCCTTGAGACCACCAAAGATACCATGGGTCTGGGTGGGTAAAATATTCTGGAAAATTTGCAATCACTCTTTTTTGCATAGTTAAACACAGTTTGCATGCCCAAATCCATGACAAATGCAGTGACAACTGCACAACACCTGATCAAGTATGTGTTTTGTTTTCTTTGCAGCCCAGGGAAATTTGCTGTGCTTTTTTTGACCTTGTAAATGTCATAATCCATGCTTGAGCATATTTGATGACACAATTGCATGCAATGTTGTCCACTTATTCCCCTCAAAAATCCCATAAGATTGAATGCATTCCAGACAACCAACTTTAAGATCACATTAAGGCCGCTGGAGTTTCTGTTTGTTTTAGTAACATCGTCTCCCTATGACAACATTGCCTGACAATGCTGCCCATGCCAGAGCAAGGTAGGCAGCCCGGCGCGCCCTGGTTTGTCGTCGCTCGGCGTGCGCGGGGCCGTGGGGCCGTCAGTCACCGTCACTGTCGCCCGTTCTTCGGCAGTGGTGGGGCCTGGCCAGTACCAGATCGCCGTCAAGAGCATGGACGACGACCTGGATCCGGCGGCAGGCTGCCGCTGGCCTGCTGGCCATCACATGCCCAGGCTCGCTAACCCGGACGAGGCGCCCCAGATCGACATCCTGGAGGAGCCCGAAAACTGCGTGCCGCTGGAGGTGGAGCAGCTGATGGAGACACTGCAGGCCGAGGGTGGGTGACTGCCGTTCCGCCCGCGGCGGGCCGACGGTGGGAGGGTAGACCGGAGGAGGGCCACTGGAGCAGTGGTGAGGGTGGTCAGGTCAGTGATGGAGGGGAAGAAGTGGGCATGAGATGATCTGAGGTGATGATCAGAGCAGAATGGTGGCTTCCGTGGCCCTGGTTCGTACCCCAGATGACGAAGCGATGTTTTGGTTCATGGCCGCCGCCCAGTGCGCCGTGCCGCCACCTGACAATACAATTTGCTGCAGTGCCTACAAGGCATGCATTGCAGCGCCACCTACTACCTGGGCCGTCAGGCACGTGGTTACGGTCTCCCGCTCGTCGTTACTTTTTCGACGTGAGCGTATGCATTTGTGCATGCCTATGTGTGTTTGATGTCGCCGTTCTCTGAAAATCACTTTTTATATCATTCTGACTATGTCCGGTGATCGCCACGTGTCTGTTGTGGATTGCTGGGATGCTGTCTGTCTGCGGCTCTGCCTATGTGTGTGAAACCGGACGGAGGAGGTGGTGAGCGTTGACTGGGGAAGTGGATGGTCCGTTAGGGGAGGAAATGCTGTTGCTACTCTGATGGCGGATGAGAGAACGGCTGCAGTTTCGGGGGTTGGGTCGACTTGTGTCTGATGTCACGGGTCCGGTGGGGGGGGGGGGGGGAGGCGGGGGGCGGGGGACGTGAAGGGGGTTCGCACGTTCTCCGCCTCGTGTCCGAGCCGGTTGCGTATACCGGCTGCTGCTGGTCTGTGGAGTTGACAGCGTGCGGTGTTTCACACCACCTGCGCTCTCGAATGACTTGCCGCACGCCCCGGCACCGCACTCTTCGCGCCATGCGCTGGCAGCACCTGCATGCGTGTCTTGTGCCGTTGCTCAAATTCACCGACCACTGTCGCCGTCATGGCGTTCCGCTGTGAGTGTCCTGGCTGCTGTACCACTCCTCTGGCGGTGACGCCGCCTGACTCCCGAAGTTCGTTCTGGCGGCAACGCTGACACGCGTCCCTGGCGGCAGGCCGAGGCCAACCTGGGCATGGTGATGGTGTTCACCATCGCGTCGGCCGCCAGCGAGTGGCTCAACAACCACTGCGACGAGCTGCGGCGGCGCAAGGAGGAGGAGGCCGAGCGGGTCAAGCGCGAGCTGGAGGAGGCCGAGCGGGTCAGTGTGGGGCGCCGACTGGGGCGGGACTGTAGCCTGTGGGGGCTGGTGCTGACTGGCTGCCTCTGAGGACCAGCTGTCGGGCGGAGCATGGGCCGCCCCCGACTGACCAGCTGTCGGCGGGCGGCGTACGGGGGGGGGAGGGTGGGGGGGGGGGGGGGGATGGGGGGGCGGGGCTGTGCGTTCTGGTGTCCTCCATTCATGTAGATGACAAATATCGCCGCCAGCTGTATATTAGACTGGATGCTCATCACCAGGGAGCCAGCTTTTAAGAAGTGTTTACTAATGCGTGCACCAGTGATAGGCGCTGAGATAACCATTGTGCCACACCCGCGAGAAAACGGTCGATATGATGGTCATAACCGCGTTCTGGATTTTGTATGCTTCATTCAAAAAAGCAATATAGGTAGCAAATAAAGCATGTCGTTCTAAGATACCGTCACAGCCCTGGTCTTCCTGGCTATTCACGCCTATTTTAATGACAATTGCGTGATGTGACAGTGACAGGGACATGACAAGGCAAGTCATACTCCAGTGACAGCGTGCCATTATAAGGCGTGCCCAACGTACAACGGACCCATTACACATTGTTACACAGTGCGCCCAGCATATCCATCACAACGTGCCCATGTGGAAGACGCGGGCTGCGGGCGGCTGGAGACCACGCCGTCAGCCCTGATCAGACGACACGTCCCGCCTCCAGAAACGCTTCGAAGGCACGCGCGTCTCCGTGGAGACGTTCCTCAAGTGGAAGGAGGGCTTCGAGAAGGAGATGAGCGCGATGCGGGCGCAGAAGGCCCGCGATCTGGAGGCGGCGCGCCGCAACAAGCTGTCGGGACGCGAGCTCTTCCTCAAGGACACCACCCTGGTCGACTCGGACATCAAGTTCCTGGAGGACGGTGAGGGTCCCTGGAAGAAGCTGGTTGGGCTTTGTTTGTGTACGGTTGTGTGGAGAGAGTACGAATGATGTGAAGTCGTGTTCACTTGTTCATAGTTAAGTTATCACACTGGTTGTCGATTGTTGGCGCTCTAAGACTCACTCCCCCTTTTAATGGGCATCATTTTGCCGGTGTCCGGTAAGCAACAACAGTCTTCTTAACTCATCGTCAATAATTATCAGACTTTGGACACTACGCAGAGTGCGAGCAGCAGCTGCGAGCTGGCATGTCGTAGGCTAGGACGCTCGCTGGATATTACATCAAATTGGTATGAGTCACTGGCATTGCTCCGGTAGTGATGGTTAGAGGCTGTAGGACCAGTGCGAGGCACGAGCATTGACCCCGGCCCAGGGTGTCTGCGCTACACCATGTGCCAGTGCCAGTTAACAGTGCGATGGTCCTCGGACAGGGGAGAACGTGTCGGATCGGCTCACTAAAGTCGATGTCTTCTGTCCTTCGAAGAAAGACTTCCTGTTACGTGGCTAGTAGGCTCGTTTTTAAATGCGGTCGTATTTTCCATTGCGAATCCTTGCATCACGTTTCGCATTGTAAGCAGGATGAACCTCCACGTCTTATCCTGGTTTGCCGTCATCTGGTGAGGTGAAAATTAATCGTGGTACCCACTACTTTTGCCTTCAGCTGACCAATGGCTGGAGGTGGGCCTTGTCTCCTTTGTTCGCACCACTACGGTGTGCGGGATGTGGGTTGTGAACGTTTGTGTCTGACAGTCTGATGTCCCCACAGCTGGCGAGGATGTGAAAGTGGATGAGTCTCTCTTCCAAGATCTGGAGGACTTGGACCTGGAGGACGACGAGCTAGCGGAGTTGAGTGATACGTGATTGACATGTAGACACGGACCACCGTCATCACGGCTTTGGACGACACGGACCACCGTCATCACGGCTTTGGACGAACATTCGTGCAAAGGTGTCGGACGTGGCGTTGCGCCTCCATAGCGGTGCCATCTAGCGACGGCTTCTGCAACTAAAGCTGTGCCTTATCGGCACGTGTGGACGTATTCGAATTGATTCTAGAATGTTCCTCGCGATGATGCAGTCGTAAAAATTGCATTTTGAAGTGTGACTGGTGAGAAAATGTCTCCATGTTGTCGACTATACTGGAGTTTTTCTTCCTGTCTCTCGCGGATGGGAAGCTGATGTCTACACATGGCCCATGTGCTGTTAGGGATTGATGGTATGGAAGGTAATGTTGTGCTGGGTACCGAACTTGTTTCCGTCGTGTGCTGCATCGCGCAGCTGTGCTACTGT